TTTCCTTGTAAAAAAATTAGCCACCTCCAATTTTCCTTCCTCTCCCTTTTAAGCCACACAACACAGCCACCTCCATTACTCGTCTCTACACATCTTCTCCAAACCATTTCTTCTTTTCTTTCAGGAATTCTCCTCAACCTCAAATCTCAAATAATCCACAAATCCACCCACCAAAACACTCAAGACAAAAATTAACCCTCTTCTAAAAATTCAATCTTTATTTGCCTTTTCTTCGGATAAACACCAGAATCTCCCAATATTTTTTGCTTGCTGGCCCAAAATCTTTACCTGTTAAAAGCTTTGGCTTTTTTGTTGGTGAAATATGGAGGTTTCAGTTATTGGAAAGTCACAAGTGAATATTGGAAGGATCAATGATGTTTGCTTTCCTAATTTGAATGCTAAGGTATTTTGTAGTGTGAGGAATAACAACAACTCAAAGGGAAGTCAAAACTCTGTTTGGCCTTCGAGATCCGCCCAGGGTTTCAGACTTAGAACATCTGCCTCAGTTCAGACACAAGCAGTTGTTTCTGAAAAGGCTTCAAAGGTCACGAAAACCAATCCGGTAAGCGTTTTTCTTGAATCTTTTCCCTTCTATTTTTCACCTACTTCGTGCTAATTCATGAAATAAATTTTGGGAAATTAGAGTTGCGAAATTTAAATATTTGTTGCTCTTAATTATTTAATTTTGTCAAGGGATCTTGAAAATTGAGGGAATATACTTCTTATTATCGAATTATGAAATTTAAATTCGTTGGAAGTGGAATTATTAAAGTTTGCAATTTTCAAACTGATGACTTTACTCTTTATAGCTAGAGATATCTTTTCCTGAATAATTTTCCAGTAACCCATAATTCGTATCACACTTTCTTTTCTCAAGATTCGTGAAAGACTCTAATAAATTTGAGTAAGTCATGAATCTGGTCCATCTAATGATAACCATATCAAGAACTCACTTTAGTAACAGTATATTAATTATGAATTTAACCTTTGCAGCAGAATAATGCCATCAAATTATACGTAGGCCTTCCACTCGACACAGTCTCGAGCTCCAACACAATAAACCATGCCCGAGCAATCTCTGCAGGGCTTAAGGCCCTCAAGTTATTGGGTGTGGCTGGTGTAGAGCTCCCCGTGTGGTGGGGCATAGCCGAAAATGAAGGCCCTGGAAATTACAACTGGACAGGTTATTTAGCTGTTGTTGAGATGGTCAAGAAATTGGGTCTCGAGGTTCGTGTGTCCCTCTGTTTCCACGCGTCTAACGAAAACAAGATATCCCTTCCGAATTGGGTTTCGAAAATTGGTGAATCAGATCCGAGTATTTTTTTTACGGATCGCAATGGACAGCTGTACAAGGATTGCCTGACTTGGGCTGTGGATGATCTTTATGTATTTGATGGAAAGTCTCCAATGCAAGTGTATAAGGAGTTCTTTGAGAGTTTTAAATCTACATTCTCGGACTACTTGGGGTCAACAATCACGGTAAGGCCCTGTTTTTTATGTTGCGTGATGGAATTCTGTTTGTGATGAAGAAATTGTGTTTTTTTTACAAATTTGAATCTTTGTGTTGTATTTGGACTTGGAGGGAGGGATTTGAAGTGATCCCTTGATGGGAATCGGAGGCTTAACTAGCATTACTCAAATATACACCAAAATAGGACAATATCTAATTTTTTATGATATATTTTATTCAATCAAATAACCTCCAAGAGTGTGTATTATTATTCATTTGAAATCCTTGATGCTCAATTGAAAAACATCCAACATAATATAACTTACTAGCTAGCTCCATTGGGATCTTGATGGATTAGAAATTTAGGATATCAAATGACTAGCAAAATATTTTGCTCGAGGTTTTCTTGGATAGTTTTCTCGAGTTCCTTTGGGTGTGATTGGATATGAATTCTGTTAGTTGTTTATTAGTTTTTTTGTTAACCATAATTTTGAAAAGGTTGGGATGTTAGTTGTTAGTGAGAGATTAAATTTATATTAATATTTAAAACAAAATAATTAAAGTTGATTTGATATAAAAGTAGGAGAGAGATGATATGAAGTGATGGTCAGTTGAACATACTTTTGTGTTTTATAACCCAACAGGGCCTAACGATCGGGCTCGGCCCAGACGGCGAGCTCCGCTACCCATCCCATCACCACCCAATAAAAAAACGCAGCTCCATTTCCGGGTCCGGCGAATTCCAATGCTACGACAAACACACGCTGGCCGACCTCAAATGCCACGCCGAGCTTCACGGCCACCCTCTATGGGGCCTCGGCGGGCCCCACGACGCCCCGAACGACGGCTTCTTCGACTCGTCCTGGAAAACCCCTTACGGCAATTTTTTCCTCTCTTGGTATTCGACCCGACTCTTAGCCCACGGCGACCGTGTCCTGTCCTTGGCGGCCTCGACTTTCGAAAGCTCGCCAGTCGAGCTGTCGGCGAAAATCCCGTTGAAGGCCCGTTCGCACCCCTCGGAGCTGACAGCTGGATTTTACGACGCGGACGGGAGGGATGGGTACGGGCCCGTTTTTGAAATGTTCCGTAGAAATATGTGTGGGGCTGTGTTGTGCGGGCCCGACTTAAATTCCGTGTCGGGCCAAGAATTACTTGCCGCGCAAGTAATGGGATCTTGTGGGGTGGAAATGTCGGGTGAGAACTACTCGGACGTGGCTGCTGGGGGTTTTGAGAGGATAAAGAAGAATTTGGCGGTGGGGAGAAATGAGGTGGTGCGCTCGTTTACGTACCAGAGGATGGGGGCTTATTTCTTTTCGCCCGAGCATTTCCCGGAGTTTGCGCGATTCGTGAGGGGGTTGAACGAGTTGGATCGGAGTTTGGATGATGTGGCGGTGGTGGGTGAAGGGAGTGTTGGGCTGTTGTCTGGTAAGAATCTGATGAGAATGCAGACTGNTGTAAATAGGAGGGGTTCCTTCCATCAATTGGACGTGTTTGTAGTTGTAATATTGAAGGATGATAATGAGACTATATTAGTTAGTGTGTGGGGGCTTTGCTTTGTGAAACGAGAGATGAATATTTGTATTGTGCTCGGTAAAGCTCGTTGAGACTCCTCCTGTTGTGAACAGAACGATTATATTGAAGATGTTAGTATGCATCTGTTTGTACGAATCTTAAGTATGTTAATGAGTTGGAGATTAGGGGTTTTGGGCAAGTCGATCGTATTTTAAATCTATATAAACTATATCTATAATCTATAAACTCATTTAAAAGGATGAGTGATTATTTAAAAGGATGAGTGATTTTTTTGAAAATTTTGAATTGCTCATGTTACCTTTGAAGGATGTTTCTTTCAAGGATATAAATATAATTTATGATTTTAAATTAGAGTTGATAATGATAAGTTTTGTTAAAATAGAAATTTGAATTGTCAATAGTCAATACTAACCTCAAGAACAAGAAATGTATATTTTGTTTGAAAGATATAAATAATATTATAGTTTTAGTTGAAAATCACAATACAACTCCACACCTACTATTCTTTTTTCTCTTCACCATATGCAATTATTTTTCATTCATATAAAATATATATTAATTTCATCCTATTATTCTTTATCATCTATAAATATTAATTTATTTATTAAAAAAGTATACAGTCTCATTTTGGAGTATCACATTCTAATTTGTTGGTCCTTTTCAATCACAAATGGTTGCAGATTAATGTAACCACTAATTTATATGTCATCTAATTAAATGTTTTTCAAATGAAGCTGTTATTAAATAGTGATTATAATTAATTTAAATTTTATCACATTGTTGCATTTTCATTATTTTTTTCAGATAATTTAGTATTATAACATTATAATTACTTTATGTTTTATCATACTTGCATTTTTATTATTTGTAGTGGGTTGTCTTATGAATTAGAGAAACATGAGAAAAGTTAATATGATGCTTTCATATGTTAGGGTCCATTGAAATATTCAAAATCTTTAATTAGTCTTTATTTATAAAACATATGAGGAAAAAACTATGAATATCATGTCTAAAAAGTATGTATATTATATTTTATTATTAATAAACAAAAATTTAAAAATATACTAGACGGCGACCTCATAGGCTTTTGCTAACCCGTCTGTCTAAAATTGCAGTCATGGTAAAATCAGTTCTTATAACTTAACCAATTCATGACTTTTGGAAAATGGAAGGGAATAATGTTTTATTAAAATAATTGTTGATTGTTATCCAATTTTAATTTTATTTTGGCATTTTCTATTCTTTTTTATGTATTTTATTTTGATTGTAAGAGATGTATATATTATTTTATAATTAATAAATTTATAAATTAATGTTTATTTAAATATCTTAATTTTGATATCCATTTTTTTTTTTGTGTATTTTATTTGGACAGTAATAGAAAACTAAAAAAGAATCATTATACAAACTTATTCATATTAGTTTGTAGTGGGTATGATTTGTGAATTAGAGAAAAATGAGAAAAGTTATTATGATGCTTCCACATTTTAGTGTCCATTAAAATATCGAAAATCTTTAATTAGTCTTTATTTATAAAGCCGACGAGAAAAAAATAATAAATATCAAGTCTAAAAAGTATGTATATTAGATTTTATAATTAATAAAGAAAAAATTACAAATATATAGTCGTCTCTCTGAAATTGCATTCATGATAATATCAGTTCTTATAACTTAACCAATTCATGGATTTTGAAAAAAAAAAAGGAATAATATTTTATTAAAATAATTATTGATTGTTATCCAATTTATATTTTATTATGTTATATTGTATACTTTTTTGTGTATTTTATTTTGACTGTAAGAGATGTATATAATTAATAAATTTATAAATTAATATTTTATTAAAATAAACTAATATTGATATCCATTCTTTTTATTTTATAAACTTTTTGTGTATTTTATTTGGACAGTTTTACAAAATTAAAAGAGAATCATTATAGTCTCCCCCAAATCGCGTTTCGCCCAAATCTCGCCGTCTGGACTTTCATCTGCTCACGAAAGGTAAGCTCCCTCAGCCGCCGTCCGTGATCGGTCATGGCCGCCGCGCTCTCGTACTCTGTCTTGACGCAACTGGGTTAGGGCTAGAGTTTCGGCGGATTCATTTTCCGCTCGAAGACTGCCGGAATTCAGTGGAATCGTGGATTGGCGGGGTATGGTGGTGTGTGGATGATGCTTGAGTCACTTGAGTTGGCTATGTTCGGGGTGCATCTTCTCGGCCGGTTTGGAGGTCTGCCGTTGGTGAATGTCCGGCTTCAACAGGGGTCTGGTCGTCGGCTCCTCGTTTTGTGCAGTGGAGTGCAGAGGTGGCGGGTCGGGGTTTCTCGTTGAGGTTTGTTTGATAGGATGTGGCTTCATTCGGGCTGGGTCGGTGCGCCGAGCGAGGATGTCACTCGTCCCTTTCTCCCCTTTCTCTGTTCCGGAGTTTGGGGGAGGCCGACTGTCTCTGGAGTAGGCTAGTGGTATTAGGCTGCTTTGGGACGGAGTCAGATTCGGCTAGTGGTGTTAGCCGGCTGGGGGGTTCTGTGGCTTCTTGCGGCTGGAGTGCGGGTCGGGTTCTCGGATTGACTTGGAGGCTTGGGTCATTTCCTTGCTAGGCCTTATGCAATGGTGGGCGTGGTATCAGAGTTTCGGAGCTCTCCTCGGATTCGGCTTTGTCTGTTGTCATTTTTGGATGTATCTGTTGAAGGAGGCTGTGTTGTTAGTGTGTAGTTGTTTTTTGGTTCTAGTGCTTTCGTTTGTTTGTTCTTGTTTTGTCGTATGTGTTGGTGTTTGTGTTAGTTTTTGTGGTTTAGGTCTGGGCCGTTGGCCTCAATCTGTCTGAGTGTGAATTTATTATCTTGTTGGGACCACACACACTCGGGCATTACCCCTTTGGGGTCGTTTTAGTGTTGTGTCTTTGTGTTGCGAGGTTATTTCCCTGTTAGGGTGTTAGGGTCGTCTTTAGTACACATGTAAAATAGTATTATAATGTGTATCAATGAGTACATGACATCCATGGATCTACGTCAATTGGAAATTTATAGTTAAAGAGCCCCTTGTTGTATGCCACAAATTATCTTGGCTGACCTAAGAGGTGTATGATTAACATAAATGAACCGACCAAAATCTATCCAGGCCCACAACTTGAGCCTACGCCATGAACAGAATGGCCCAAAGTTCCTCGACCAGCATTGTGTCGATCCTTTGCCATATTAAACACTGATCCGTCTGCTGACAGCTTTTGCTGATCTCTCTGCAGAACAGGAACTGGAAAAGAAACTGCCCAACAGGTCCCATCATCAAAAGCCAAATATGAGACATGTTATCAAAAGTCAAATTTTTGCATGGTAACACGTGTCAACCACCTAGCCTCTAAGGTGACATACGACCACCATTATTTTCCGCTTTATTCATGTATAAACGACTAACTTTATACCTCAGAAAGACACATGTAAACATTTTAAAGCACAATTACTCTAATAAATACATACACTCACATTTCCTCTTTATTTGTTTCTTTTTGCTGATCTTATCAGTCATTAACGGTCTCCCCCATTACACATCATATGGCTATTTCGCATGATACAATTACATAACACACAGTTAATAACATTGGTAACTAAGCATTGTAAACACATTTAATACACATGTAAATCTTATATTAAATCATTATACATTATAATACTATTTTACTAATAAAGGATACCTTCAAATATTTACTTTGACTACCTCAGAGATAGAGTGTAGGTTAAGAAAATGCGTAAGAGACTAAGAGCAACTCCAATGCAGCTGGAATTGCGTAAAACACCACAAATCTGGCGTAAATCTACTCCAACGAAAATTTCTTACGCTACGTTGATACTTTGTACAGTGCAACGCTAGATGTGGCGTTGTACTGTGCACCAACCTAGATGCAGGTGTATTAATTTTGCAAATGACACATATCTATAAATTTAGAATATATTGAAGTTGTAAAAATATTTTNATATATATATATTAAAAAAAAAGTAATGCATATTTCATCAAAATAATATAAATATTGATGTAGAGTAAATTGTAGAGTGATTGGAGAGGAAATAATGGCTGAAAAACGGTCTAACTACTTATATTCTAAGATTGGGTCGTACTATAGGAAAAGACTTAAGTCCCGTTGTGCCTTTTTGCGGGATGGTTCCGCTATATCTGGCCAATAAAAATTTGACAAATCACTTTGGTTTAGTAGGCTCGCAGCATGTGATCATTTCCCTTGAGGAGTTTACAACCGGCTACAGCAAGTTACTTCCGGTGCAATCGATTCACGTTTTTCCACTAATGGCGCTAGGGTTCCTCTCTTTCCCTAACTCGTTTCCAGAGCTAAGACTTTTTCGAGCATCTGCGCCTATAAATCACCGACCGATGGTGGACAACGGTGCCGGAACCACCTCCAAGATCCCCGACGAACAACCACTCACCGGTTCCATCCCCGACGGCGGCGCCTTTCCCACTGCAAACCCCTGTTATGATGCATACTCTGCCAGTACCAGACGGAGGCGGAGCTCATCCCGGACAATCTCCACCTTCAGGCCCACGACCACGCCCTGGTCCTCGAGATGGGGAATTCTCCGGAGGCCGAGTAGAGGAAAAGTGGGGATAAGTGAACAGGCCCTACTGTGAGGTCTCGCATTCGTCAGGTAATAATAACACCAACAAAAGCTCGAGTTTTTGGGTTTATCTCAAGGGTTTGATGGAGGAGTTGCGGGAGGTGTTGGGGTGAGCAAATTTTGCAGGGGGAAAGAAGGGCAAGCGAATCCGGAGCTTTTGGATTTCTAAGCTCTAATTGAAGGGTTCGACTTGGCCACTCCGCTCGACTTGAAGAGGATTTCCATTGTTACTGACAACCTTTGCTTTATCAATTTGTGAGTAAACAAACACTACTTAACAAGTTTTCTTTGGTTGCTGTGTATGGGCTGTTGTGTGTTGTTAAATTTCTATCCAGAACAAGAAAAAGACCTTACCCTCATCTTATTTTTCTTAAGCTTTAGGAGTGGTCTTGATGAAGGTCGAGATTTAAGTCTTATTTTTCATATGTTATGGTTTGAACCTGAGGTGTATATGGAGTTATATACTAGATTTTGCATTTCCTACCCGTTGAGATGGTCCCTAGAGTGTACTCATGTCAACTTCTCGTTTTTCAGTATTCAATCATGTCCAATTTTTGGCTCGTTCATGCCGCAGAAAGTATCATTTGCTTTTTCTACATACAGTTTGAGAATCTGAGTTTCCAGTCGAGATCGAAACGATGTCGTCGCGTAGAGGAGTTCTTCTCAAGGTCATCATCCTCGGTGATAGTGGGTGAGTGTTTCCTGTATTTTGACGAATTTGTTTTCGCGTGATGTGCTTTTTTCTTTCTTTTTTTTTTCGGCATAATTTTGTGCGGCGTGGTTGTGCGTGTAGGGGTAAATTCAGGATGTTTTTTTTTATTTATTTCGTTATCATGGAGGATCATTTTCAGTCCAGGGTTTGATTGATCGAAAGTGAAAAATGGATAAACTCGAGGTTGTTTCATTTGATCTTGCTGTCTTGTGAGTTATAGCCCAGTTAGATTTTTTTACACATCATTGTCTTAGTTTTGCCTTCGTGGATTAATCTTTCCCTGTAGTTCGTCAGCGAATAGAATATGTCAGTAGTTCAAAAGCAGTGTTTAGCTGCAGGATTTATGTAAAATGTTTTTTGAAGTTTTCGTTTGGATCGAGTTTTCCTTCATCATTGAATATCAGTTTAGTTAGTGCTTCAGATACATTTGTTTATCTGAAATTTAGTATCTTTTTACCTATTTATTCTTCAGGGCTCCTCAAGTGGGGGTAACCACTTGATTATTATGTAGTTCCTAAATGATCAAGTATGTTAGAAAGCCAAATTTCATTAAAGAGAACTTAAATGGAGTTTTTTCATTTTATTTTTTTTTGCTAATAAAATGTTAAGATTTGTATCTAGAATGTTTGTTGGTATCTTGTTCAGGCCACTTTTCTTGTAGCTAAGTGTTGAAAACAAATGTCCGGTAATGATAATAATTAATAAGATCATGTTCTATTTAGAAACCCATAGCTACACTTTGTTTTATGCTTATTCCAGGTAGAAGATAAAGTTATTATATGAAACCCATAACTTAAACTACATTATCTTAAGTGCTTCATTGGATCAGAACAATGTATCACTGTTTTTGCAGGTAAATATCTGTGCCTGAATATATATTCGAGTGCATAATACGTTTAACTAGTTATTTGAAAGATTGATTCTTGAATAAGCTGTTGCAGTACTTATTTGCTCGTGTAACTAATCATTTTTTTTTTCTTCTCAAGTGTTTGGAAGTTTTTCCGTACAGTGGTTCATTATTGCTTCCATATGAACCAGGTAAAATTATTTCATCAAAGAAAGCCCTCTCAGATTCACTATTTAAGATTAAAGCTCTCGGCTTCACTTGGTGCCAAAAAGAGTAGGAAAAAAGAAAAAAAAAATCAAGTTATAAGATGCAGAGCCTGTCGAGTAATAATAAACACCATGATCATTCCATGGGTCATTCATATGCAAGCTCGTATGGTGGCCACTTATCTCTTTGGTTCCCCGCCAAATAGAAACAACTTTCTCGACCAAACGGTGTTGCCGCTAAGCTTGACTCAAAATCTGAATACAATCGCCATGCAAAGTATTTATTGGAGTCTGGTTATCAAGAAAAGGATCAGTGCTCGCCTATGTCAACTGGACAGTCTAATTTTGAAGCCGCCCCTTGTGTAAAAAACAGCTTTCATGAGCAAAATGTCTTGTTTCAACCAGGTAAATAGTTTAAATGTTGAGTTTGATTATTATGCAATTTTTTTTTTTTTAAAAAAAAATTATTCACTTTGCTCTTTTCTCGGTTTGTAAGTATTTTTTGTTTCTAGCCCGTTTTTCTGTATGATTACTGATAAACATGGAACCAATGTGAGTTGATTTTTTTTCTTTTCTTTTCTCCTGTTTATTGTTTTCGATTCTTCTTAGCACTGCTAATTTCAAGCGGACTCCTTGTTGGAGAAAAACATAGTGTTTATTTAAGGACATGGATTGAGTACACCTTTCATGCTTATATAGTTCATAAAAATTTGGAGTTGGCGTATGGTAAAATTATGTTGATGACTTCCATATTGAGAAGAAAGAATGAGCCGACCTATCATACAATGTTTCACTAATCGAGCTTTATATTGGAATATGATACCCAGTTGTATTGGATATAATTATTTTTCTTTTTGTCTATATTTCCGGCTGTAAATAGGTTTCCTCGAAACTTGTAAGAAGAAAGCAGATCTGCCAAATAGTGGAACAGATTACCTTGGCCATCAAGTTCAAATGGAGCATCATAATGAGTCACTGGTTGGTTACACATTTTCTTCTAAAAATTTTAATAATTGAAGCGCTTGATCGAAAATCATTTTGCTGAAATTTCTATGTAATCCTATTTTCACTCGTAGGATTCTGCATCTTACCCTTTTGGTGAATCGTATTTCAGAAAAATAACGACTGTGTACAACCCAAATCCTGTTGTAAGTGTCCAACCACTTGCTCTCGTCTTTTTCTACGTGGCCAACATAATTCCATATGCTAAAATGCTCTTATCGAGTAAGTTAGCACATAACAGTGTTTTTACAAGTATTAGCACATGCGGATACAAATAGATTTTTTCATAATTATTCTTTCCCTTTTTTCCCTTTTTTCCCTTTGCATTGTAAATAATTGACCATCATATATTGTACTCTCGACTCTTTTAATAAGCGCGTACTGTTTTGGTTCTAACCAGGTTTACCCTCAAGCGATGGAAATTGCATCAGCAAGAGCTGTGCTTCCTCTCGAATGTACAGAAAACATGGTTCCAATTTACGTCAATGCAAAACAGTACCACGCCATCCTCAGGCGCCGAAAAATCCGAGCAAGACTCGAGGCTCAGAATAAGATAACTAAATCTAGAAAGGTAACTTAAGAGCCTTGACTTGATTAAAGAAAATAAGAAACCCACCTAACTTCCAAAAACAAAAA